TGATATCATTTACAATTGAAGTTGCTAGAGGGGAAGAAAAAGGTTATATAACATCCTGTATATATATAAACGCCTTATGTTTTATTACTATTTGTATGTATGATAAAAACGCCTTTTTCTAATAAAGCCTTTTCTCATTATTATATTTTTATCTGTTTGAAAGAAGCTTATTTACAAGGAACATCTGAAGAGTCGGGTAACATAAATTTTTTTACAACTTTTACACCAATTATTGAAATAGTTTTCTGAAAAATGAAAATATTGCCAGAAGTTGGTACAAAATAACTAACTAGTCCATAATCATATAATCGGAATATCATAAACCAAACCATCTAGTCATCTTTTACGCTCAAAAAAAAATTTTTTTGATGGAAAAAAGACTTTTTCCTACAAAATCCTCTTTTTAAAAAAAAACTTCAATTTATGAAAAAAAAGGTATGTTGTGACGACAGTACAGTTTTTTTGCGAAAGTCCATTTTTTCGAAGGACCAAACCTCAAAATCATGCTGATTCTTAATGTTCGGGCCACATAGTATTCAGCTATGAGTTTATCTCCAATTTCGTTTTTTTTGACGAAATTTGACATTTTTTGAGGGGGAAGCCCTTAAATAATCGAAATAAGACGTCTTTAGTTACATACAGAAACTTGATCCATCAATATGTCTTATAAATTAAAAAGAAGGAAAAGTATCCTTTGCAGGTGATGTAAGCTGAGTTATACGTACACAGTGCACTTCCTTCTTTCACTTTATATTATATACTATAAGCAGCGCAAGTGATTGACGTTATTCGAGAAGATTTTACTTTGAGCCTACACCCCTATATTTATTGAGACATCTGTTGATTTATATATAGTCGTAACCAAAAGGATTCTATTCAACAATGAAAATGGGTTGCCATATTAAATTATCAATCTTCGCCTTTGTAACTGCAATAATTGCTACAAGTTATGCTCTTACCAAGCGTAATATTATCTTGCAGAATCATATTGATTCACTTCAATTAGAACTGCGATCAGCATCACCAGATGCCATTCTGTTTTGGAACCAAGTCATGCTGCAAGCCTGTGCAAATGATTATGATAAAATTGTAGCTTTCCGACCTGATCAAGAAGGACCAGCAGCAACTGCACGTGTCTTTGCTATCATTCATGGTGCTATGTATGAAGCAATGAACAATTTCGATCGGATTTATCAACATGTTACGGAAGGAAGTCGATCTTCAACCAATGATTCAATCGACAAACAGAATGGAATGATTGCATCTATAATAGAAGCTGCCTATCAAACATTGTCATTCTTATATCCACAACAACGTCCTTTATTCGATGCAATCTATCGTGCTCATTTGTACAGAATAAGAAATGAAACTAGTTCACAAAATGATATAAACATTGGTCTTAGTATTGGCCAATTAACCAGTTCTTATATGATCGAAAATCGAAAATTCGATGGTAGTTCTGACAACGCTGTATATTTTCCTAGCATGAAGCCTGGCTATCATAAAGCCGATCCGCTTCATACAGGACAAGGTTTTCTAGGTGTTCATTGGGGACAAGTAAAACCATTTTTCCTGAATTCTGCATCACAATATCGTCCTCTGGACATTTTCCAGGATATGTATTCATCTCGTACATCTTATTTGAATTCGGATTCTTACAAACGTGAGTTGAATGATGTGAAAATCTACGGGTCAAAAAATAGTACGTATCGTACCGATGATCAAACTCAAATCGGTATTGCTTGGGCTTATGATGGAGCACCAAAATTGGGTACACCTCCACGTCTCTATAATCAAATTGTTCGAATAATTGCTATTCAACAAGGCAATACACTTGAGCAGAATGCTCGGTTATTTGCCCTTGTCAATTATGCTATGTGTGACACAGGAATAGCTGCATGGGAAGCAAAGTATCATTATGCTTTTTGGCGTCCGATTGTCGGTATTCGTGAAGCATCGAATGTAAAAGATGCTGATCTCAAATGGACTCCATTAGGAGCACCAGCTGATGGTACCGGTACAGATTTCACACCTCCCTTTCCAGCCTATGTATCTGGCCATGCAGCATTTGGTTCGGCTGCTTTTCACACACTTCGACTATTTTACAACAGAGACGATATTCAATTTCAATTTCAATCAGATGAATATAATGGAAAAACCAAGGATTCGAATACTGGACTTGTGCGACCAGCGCTAACTCGAAGTTATCGATCATTAACAGCAGCCGAAATGGAAAATGCTATTAGTCGAATTTATTTAGGTGTACACTGGCGTAGTGACGTTGAAAGAGGAATGATTCTTGGCAAAGATATAGCATTGGAAGTGTTTCGAAAACTCATTTGAATTGAATTTTTATTTTATTCTCTTTTATAAACATAATTTATTTTAAGCTCCAATAAATGTGCATCAATTAATAATCAAATATATTACCAAAGACAAAATGCTTGTGAATAATATTTTTGATGGATTCACCCATGAGTACTCCCTCGCAAAAAGTAGAACATTTTTTCATGCATTAAGTTTTGTAGAGCTTATCATGTGTCCAGGATTTTGATCAAAATACAAAGAAGTTCAATTTATTCAAGAAACCACATTGCTTTAGTCAAAATATTCGAAAACGTCAACTACCATTCAGTATCATTCAGATATAGCCGAGATTTTTGAGTATTTCGATTCTAACACCATGATTCATTGAACAAATTGGAATAACTTTTTATTCAAAATGATCAGTATAACGAGCTTTACAAAATTTTACAGATGGAAAAAAAATCTTCTGAGAAGGTTCTATCGTTTGAAAATAAGATTCGTAAACATCTGGTTGTTAATGGATAAATTGTTACAATAGTTAATAAGTTGAAACTGGAAATGATTATATATCGTTCCAGAGAAAAATTTTCAATTCGACTACTAACATCTTCTTTCTGGTGTTTTCTTCATGAGTTATGACTATTTTACTGAATCTTCAGTTCAGTGCAGGATATAAAATAGAGAGATTAATGTTGTCATCATTAATTTGAAATTTTCACCATAGCGCGATCTCTTCTAATCCGTATTATACATCAAAATTATTAGTTAGAATTGCATTTTCTTTTAATTTAAGAACAGAATATTGGTTCAAATAGTGGAAATTATGATGTATGCTAAAGACCATACCATGGCATCATAGTAAAAAACTACTGATCAAAATGACAATATGTGATTGTTCATAATATCGAATGACAGATAAAAAATCGTGCTATTAGTCATTCTTATGTGCATCCAACTCATAGTTTTAGCCTATTAATTTCATGAACTCTAATAGAATTGACAAAAAATAGCCGAGTTTAGTGGCTAGCAACACCTTCGAATGAATACAAGAAAACTAGCAGTGAATCATTCTTCACTCGAATGATGTTTATGCAAGATCTTGTACTATCTCACTTTCACATAAACACAACCTTATTAACATATGTTGCTATAACTATTGTTCTATCTTCTACAGTTATTGAACCATACCATCACTTCCATTAGAAACTTTCGTTTTTGATGAACAGCATCTTTCTTCTTTGCTTCTTCCCTTTTCATAACCAAGATTTGGTCATTCTGAGAATTGTATATATTTCATTTAAATGAAAATTTGCTATTATCTATAGTTTGATTATTTAAAACTTAATGCGTAAAATGAATTTGCTTTTTGTTTTTGAAAATCAACCAGTTCTGGTTGTTAAATTTTGTTTTTCGAGAAACAATCAAGATTTTCAGAGGATATTCTCTTCAACAATTAATATGATATATCCTGCAATAGACTTAATACTCAGTAAAATAATCATAATTGAAGAAGAAGCGTGGATGTGAGTGTGATTGTTCTTCTTCTGTGTACTTATACATCCAAACCTACATTCATATCCACCTACCCATACCCTTTATAGTGTAACCTAAAAATAGAAAGATTTATCATTTAAGTTAAATTATGTGAAAGACTTCTTGTTCTTCTAACTACGGCTGTTGAAAATATTTGAAATACGCTGTACTATTTTTGTCTCATGAAGGCAAAGTACTGTGCTGAAACGTATTGATTTATTCATCTTATTGAAATGAATGATTGAGAAAAAGATCAAAATTCGTTGACATCGCCAAAGTAAAAATTGAAATCAATATAAAAGCTATAACAGATTTTATTTGTGAAGTACATTTTCTGATTGAAGAACGCACTTCCAATATTAAATAAAAGCAAAATATTTACTCGCCGTAGTTGCCGTAGTAACGCTAGTCGTCGATTTATTTGTAAAGACTACAAAAATGAAGAAAACTGATAAAATATGGATTTCATTTATATCTAGCAAAGCACAAATTTTAGTGATGGATCCTATGTCGTTAAAATCGCGAAAAATCTGGCGATAAAACGAAATGATAATCGTGAGCCGAAACTTTATATATCATTGGTTTCGTTTCCGATGATTTTGGTCGTTTTAGTGGTAAATCTTGATTGTATCAGCGGTTATTATCTTTCAATACATCGCTGAGAAAATTGATTTTCTTCATCTATTTTTTATTAGAAAACTCAATATTCAGATTATTTTATAGGGAAAAGGCATGTAATACGAATGAATAATCTCCGTGCAGCATGCACTTTCTCATAGTCAAATGAAACAAAATATCAAATACAAAACAAAAAAAAAATATATAGTAATCAAAACCCGTTTATGTGTACTAATTTGAAAGAATAGACTGATAAGAGAATATCCTATGAATACTAAAACACCGTGTTGCGCAGAGTTGAACAATTATCTGATTTTTTAAAATCGAATTTCATTTATTGATTTGTCGACTGTGTCTTTTGATAAGATCACATAATAATTCGAGTCTTTGTCGCAACAGCATTTCAATAAAACATTCCTTAAACTTCATCTTAGTTTTGTGAATAAACTTTCAGCATCATGGTAGGATATGCGTACTAAATTTTTTGAATACGATTTTTTTTGCCTTAGATTCGTTTAGATCTTTAATCAAGTTTTGTAACTAAGTAATTTTCTTGTGACGCTAGAAGAAAGTGTTCTTACCTATTTCGAGTTTCTTTGCTTTAAGTTATGAAAACTATATAAACATTTCAAACTGCAGCACTTACTGAAGTGACTAAAACAAAAAAAAAAGGATGATAGAAATTTGAAATATGCATCTCTTACACAGGAAAATGCTTTTTGATACAGCAAATCTATTTCGAATTAAAGGCAAGTTAAAACTATATGTCATCGTTACAGTGTTTTATGTTAAATTGTCGAAAGAGATAAGTGTTTTCGTTCAAAATTTTGTTTCACAAAGTTTATGGCTGTGTCATTGATACTAGGTATAACCTGGTCGAGCAACCATTGAATATGATGAATATAAAAGTTGATCTAGCCTACTATGGATGCATTACAGTGAATCTCATGATTTACTACTATAGAATAGCATATTTAGAATGTGGAAAAAATAAAATACAAAACTGAAAAACTTCTCATCATAGTTTTCATGATTATTAATAAAATAAATTTATCGAAAAAGACTTTGTCATAGAATAGTTTTCTTATATTTTAAACACGTACTCAACACAGTTATAGCTGCTACTAACTCTCCAAGCACGGTTTTACTCCACCTTGCATTGGAATGTTTAAAACAATAGAACAAAAAGACAAAGACATTATTTTGCTGTTATATATCTTCTTCTTCTTCTTTCTATTTATTTGTGTTTGATAATGTTCTTAGTTAGAACGAAACGTCACACTGGTTGATCTTAATAAATCAATAAAAATGTTAAATAGCTTAGTTTCATTAATTATTTCATTATTTAATATAGTGCTATTCAATGACATACTTACTAATTCATCATACGTGCCTTCAATAGCAGGTTCTGGCAATAATGAAAGAGCCATTAATTGTCGGCATAGATGTTTAACGGCATCATCATTGTTGTACGATGAGGATAATCCAAGTCGTTGTATATTACGATATACAGCTTGCGTGAAATGAAAATAACAAGACGAATGTTTTGCTGTGCTAAACTATAAGATAAAAATTTAAACATATACTTCCATCACAAGAAATATAGAACACTTACTTCAGCTTTAATCACAGCTATCAAAGCTGGTTCGAAATCACTTATAACTAATATCCGTTTCAAAATTTAATGCGTCCCACTGTTTTTTGAATAACTCAAGAACGCAATCAGCTAGAGACCTGCGGTTTTCACCAATCGAAAGAAGGGACAGGGAGCGTCTTTTTCTCCAATATCCTATCAGACGGAATCATTTTGAAACCAGTCATTTCTTCATAACATCGAAAAAATGGACTGTCATTCAGATGAAATTTTGACAAAAAGTAAAAAAATTTGCTTCAAAATTAAAAGAAATTCATAGTTTTCTTGCGAGTAAATAGACGATTTTATTTTGCTAAACGTTAGGATGCGGTAAGATAATCATTCGAATTATATCCTGAAGTATAGACCCGAAGTTCCTCTATCTAGATCACATGTCAAAAGGATAATTTCTTCAGAATGCCGGGTCGTTTTTATGCATTTTTTGCAATGTTTTGCAGAAATGACTGATTCTAATATGATTTTGTCCAATACAATATTGGAGAAAAAGACGTCCCCCTGTCTCTTCTTTCGATTGGTGAAAACCGCAGATCTCTAGCCGATTGCGTTCTTGAGTTATTCGAGAAAACGTGGGACGCATTGTATTTTGAAACAGACATTACTTTTCTACAAAAGCTGAAGATGTAAACATGATCAATCATTCAATAGAGAATTGAAAAAGGGAAGCACCATTCGAAAGATGCTATCACATATCTTTTACTATTAATTTACATGCAAAGAAATAGATGTTTAAAAAGCGTTTATAACTATTAGTTCAAAGTCAGAAGATGATCTTGTTTTCATCATTTGATGTTTTAACATTAAACGTTCTATCGTAGGTTTTTTTTTCCTGTCTATACTTGTCGTTTTCACTTATCTAGCTAGTACGTTTACAAATGCTTAACCATGTGAATGACTGTCAAGCATGGACGCATGTTGAGCTATGTTGCATATTTGAACTATATGCTTACTTTTTAAATGAATAACAAACTCAGTTTCAAAGAACTTCTTGTAAACAAACATCTGAGAGTAATGCACAATAGTGAAAAATAGTAATCGGTCTCTAATAAGTGTATACCTCTGATAATTGCTGAAGAAAAAAATCAAAACCTACATTCACATATTCTAAATGTTATGTTAATTGAAATAGGAATTTATTTGATTGTTATTTGTCGAAGAAACAAACAAAAAACTATTCCGATAGTTTCTAAACAAAATTTGAGAGAATTTGGTGATAATTTGAAATTTTTTTACT